TATTTTTATGCTGTCTGTTCTAGTAATAAATATTCTGATAATGTTTTATGCAAATTATCTTAATTATTTTTTTACTATAATCATGATTATGATTCTGCTACGTTTTCTGAGATCAACAACATTTTAAAATTTTAATAAGAATACACCCCATTAAATTAACTAAAAGTCTGCTTTGAAAGAATTCAGTTACTTCTGTCATTCCTGCGTATTAGATGAAGGCGTTAAAAAAATAATATGATTTTCTCCTAAAATGCCTTTAAAAAAACCCTCGAGTTTTCATTTTGACGCGAGAAATCTGATTGGAAGAAAAAATTTTTATGTGGCTCATTCATCACAAGTTACAACATTTCCTTCGTAGATAGTTTTCATGAAAACAATACAAAGTTTTAAAAGATTTTGTAATAAAAATATACACACAAAAACAAAATTTAAGAGATTTTCAGTCATTGTTTTCATTTTTTTTTGGAATCAAAATTCTTTTTAACATCCCTATTCTTGGTGAAGTTTTGGCGATTTAGCGTTTAGGGTCGATTAGAGCCGGGGTGAGCCTCTAGTGGACCCCAAAGAGTTTTCTTGCGTCCCGCCAAGACAATCAGAAAATCCGCTTGGAACTGACCGCGATTTCTTTCCCACGCGGAATCGAAGATTCTCGTCTTTTTTATCTTTCACTGTAGAAAGACAAAGTACCCGAAAACGCGTTTCTACTATCTCGAACTCTACTGCAGAGTTTAGATGCCACAAGAAGATTTCAGTATTTTAAGAAAATTCTCCTTTAAATTCAATTTGCTCTGTTGTCCGATTATTTCTGATATTGATACAGAGCCCGAGCTTGAACTTGTTGATTTGAAGCCGGTTCACCGCACAAAGAAAGTGACCCTTTTACAAATCTTTGTCAGCTGAAAAATTTCTATGTAGGAAGAAATTTGAGAGGAAATTGTTGAAATTCTATTTGATCCATTGGTGCATCAACCAGAGTATATACGGATGCAAGTTGACTTGCAGGCTGAGATGAGGATTGAAACAAGCCTCCTGATTAAAAATGAATTGTATGGTCTCATGAAACTGATTCTAAAGTTAAATGGGCTGGCACAATAGGAAATGAGCACAATAAATAAATTGAATAAAACCACCATTATTTTATTTAACTCATATTTATTATTTTTTGTAATGGATGGCCTTTCGGTATAAACCGCTGATTAAAGCATGTGGCCCACTTCTTAATTAGAGTAATAATTTCATGTTAAGGTTATTGGGTGGCGTTAATGAGAGCTTCGCCTGAACGCTCAGTTGCACTGAAATTTAAAAGTCTTGGTGTGGTAGTTAGGAGAGTGAGATACCTCTGCTCATCGACATCCTCCTCATGTGACAGCGAAATAAGCGAAGGCTACAACAAATTAGTATTCGTATAATTCTAGGGGTATAAGTTAATTAAATACATATCTATATTAATTAATAGGTTTTAGTACTTTTTTTAAAATAAAATTAACTATGTGTAATTTCGCTGCCTGAGGGTGCTGTCAAAATAAAAAAAAAGACAAAGTTTTTGCGGTGACGGTGATAAATATTTCTAGGTTTAGGAGGTCAATTGAATGAATTATTTTATTGTGTGCTAAGATTAGTCTAACATATGTTTTAATAATCCAAGACTACAATCTCATCAAATAATTGAAAGAAAAGAATGAGAAATAGGACATTATCGAGACATTTTCCACGATACTGTTGCATTCAATTTCGAATTGGAAGTGAAGTTATGAAATGAACATTAGAAGAAAATCATTGTTATAAGCAATGAATGGACTTTTTAAGTAATCTTACTGTAAAGCTCTGCCGTTCTTTTGAAATTTCCGTTTGACAGCATTTTGTTACAGATGAAACATTGAAAATGTAGTACGACTTTAATACTGATAAGACTTTAGTACTAACATTTTTTTAAAAATAAATACTGTTGTAGAGATACAGGATATTCTTCTATTACTTATCAGATATTTTAATTATGTAAAACTGAGTATTGATTTTTTAAAAAAGAAATTATTATATATATATATATATATATATATATAAATATATATATATATATATATAAAGGGACGTAGGAGAGATACTGTATTCAGTATTTTCGATTCACTTAATGTTGCACAAATATGACATCCTTTATCATTTTGAGGTCAGAAAGCCATTTCCTGAACTTTATAGTAAAGCGGAAATGAGTGGAATTTAAAATGAGGAGTTAAATCGTGCACCCTTCTTCGAGTGGTGCATAACCCTAAAACAAAAGACACTCACAAACGAAAAAAAAAATATTTTGATGACCCAGATACTATTACATTTTACCACTACCACGCAATCAGACGATGCGTTTCCCACCCCTTTGTGTACCCCCGGAAAAACACCTCTGCGCGTGCAGACCCCCTCTTGCCCCTTAGGTAGCAGTGATGAGGGGAGCAGTGGAGCATTCGAACGCGGTGTTCAGAGGTGGAAGGATGGAAGGCGCGATGGAGTTCGAGGCCGACCCCCTGCGCCATCGTCTGCGAGGGGAGGCCCGGGAGCAGCCGCAGCATCCCTACGGGATGGGACGTTTTGTGGACGTGGCCGCCTGGATGGGCAACGGTCCTCCCAGAATTAGCAGAGGTGAGTTGATTTCGTTGCTGGATTTCGATTGCTCTTTTAGCAGAAATACTTCCCTTTCTACATTTGTTTTTTTTCCCGAAGCTTTTATCGATTATTAAGAACTGTTTTTAGAGAACGAAATTCAATGTTTCGTTGTTCCTACAACTCATTTTACAGTAGTTTGCAAACATCTGTAATATTTCTTTGTGTGAATATGAAGAACATTTTTAACATGAACAAGTCTGAAAAAGGCTCACATTGCCACGAAATTTATTCTCGAATGAATCCTGGATCGTTATTCATCTTTTCTTAGGGTGGAGCTCATTTTCATATTAAACAGAAATTTGTTGTGTGAAATTTGGATTTGAAAAAAAAAATGTAGCATTTTTCCAAATTTTTCTTTTGAGCGCAATGAATATTCTTTTTTACAAACTTTTTTTTTGCATGATCAATATTTTTAGGAAAACAATGAAAAACTCTGAACAACTTTCATGAGTGTAAATTTTTTTCTCCAGTACAACTTCCATGATTGCACATAAACCTGTAATTCGGTCGAATTTCTTAAATTATTAATCATGCAAATTATTTATTTCTTGAATGTGAAGCACATTTGCATATTTAATGAGATACCGTATCAAAATCACTAAAACAAACAAAACAATTTATTAAGATTTCATAACTTAAACAATATTAGTTTAAATGTTGAAGATTAAAATATTTGTCATCAAGTTTTTTCTCAAATCTCGTAATTTTATAGTATTCCACATGGAAGAAAAATGAAATAATGGAGCTATGATTATTTAGGTTATAAATGAGGAGTTGCTTAAAATCATTAATATATATGTTAAAGGAAAGTCATTGTATTAAATTAAGAGTTAAAGTTTTTTTTTATAACTCCATTAAAAATAGAGTACGGAGAACAGAGAGACGATATATTTGATATGAAAGCCTACATCAAGGTGCGTACATCTGTCATGAGTACTTATGCATGCACGTATTTTTCTTATAGGGTATATATTGTATTAATATATAAATGCTTTCTCAAGCCTAAGTAACTAAAATATTTACTTGAAAATTTATAACTGAATATTAATTAAAAAATTTTTCATGTAAGTTTTAGTAAAGGGAAAAGAGTCCTCTTTAGTGTTGAATGAGAAACTAGAAATTCTAAAAAAATAAATGTTCTATTAATGTGTAATGTTTATGTAGTTCTGTAGTTCCCCCCCATTTCTTGCTTCTGCAATCCAACCATTTATGTTCATTATTAAAAAAAATACGTACTAAAACTTCAATAAAACAATGAAGAATTAATAATATTATGTAAAATAATTTTTTCTTAAAAATGTTCTAGAATGCTAAATACTACTCTCGGGGTGTTGCTAAAGATCAACGGGTGATTACTATTTTGTTGGATGTTATTAAGGAATAAAACAGATTTATGTATTAATTGGAATTTATATAATTTCCTTATAGTTACATAGATTTTTACTAGATATCTAAAACAGCTATTGGTCCTGAAAAACAATTATTTATAATTATTAGCAATTTTAAAAGAGTTTCTTCGATATACTCCTAAATTCATGGAAGTTTATTCATAATTAAAGCTTGTTTTCACGATAGAAAATTTCTGTTGAGCTAGTTTTTATGAAACAAAGCCGTAAACATTATTTGAAATTATATTTTTCACATGTGGCATTTATATTACATAAATGTTAAGAGAATTCGTCAAATACATTGGTAAAGACTAAAAAACAGCGAAACATTTAAAATAGTTTGGTTAAAATGATTTTGAACTGTTAATTTGGCTTTAAACGTCTGAAACTGTATTCTTCTGTTTGGATCCTTTTTGATTCATTCGTTTTAACTAATTTATTTTGATAAAAATAGCATTCATTTATTGTTCTTCTAAAGATAAGAAATTAAAATTTTTGTCAACATTGTCTTCTCTTTATTGCGGTGGCAATCTAAAATAGATTGTAAAAATTATGTTCGAATCAAACTTATATAGAGCAATAAAACACTGAGTTATATAATTTCTCCGTAGAATCTCATTAAAAAAACCTAACTAATCAGTCTTATTTTCTTAGCAGAGTAAAGAAATAATAAACAAGAAATATATATATATAAATTTTTTTGTCAATTCCGACTTAAGTGAACATAGAAACATTTCATTTTAGTTACCTTTCATTAAATAGTTGCAATTAATATAAATATGTACATACATAGGACAGAAACGCAATATTAAGGGACAAAATAGAAAGCGATTTTCCATTTTCCTTTCTCTATATGGTGTTGGACTATTTTTGTTTGTTTACTATTTATTCCTCAATTAAATTCAATTACTTTAATAAAACAGTATAGTAAAAAGGAAATCACATTTTCAGAAATTAGGTCATCCCAGGTGGGATTCGAGCCCACGATCTTTGGATTTCAAGTCCAACGCGCTCTCCATTGCGCTACAGGGACACAACGAAAGATTCTTTTCTATACGCTGTTGGACTATTATTTTTGTTTGTTACTATTTATTCATTTTTTAATTTAATTAATGAGTTAATATTTGCAAAACTGAATAAACATCAAGTGTCATCCTCTACAAGTTTTAAAAAACAAATTTGAATTTGAATGGATGAATAGAAAGTATTTTATTCGCGATTGAAAATTTTAACAAGATATATAAATAAATACGTATAAATAGGAAGAGAGTGGACTAATAGTAGGAATTGAAAAATTCAAAGCCATTTTGATAACATCAGAAATTTACAAAATTATTCAGTTATATATTTTTTTAATGTACAAATAATAAAATCGATTGAGGAACAAAATGTTTATCAAAAATTGTTAAAATTCAGCGAATTTATTGCTTTCTCGTCCTTTTTAAAGCTGTTTTCGGCTGCTGCTGAAGACCCGAATTGGGAACACTTTTTCAGATACGAAAGAAAGGCAACAGTAATATGATATATTCTGGCTTCACTATCCTTTAGAGAGCAAAATTTTTTATCATACTTCCCATTTTTAATTGAGTTGATTCATTTTTTATGGTATAAAATGTGTTTCGCATTTTTTATCCTATAGCGTTATGTTAAATGGGCTTTGCCTTCAGTATTAAAACAAAAAAGAAATTATTCACATAATTTTTGGAAATTTTTGAAAGCACTATTGTTAACAAAGGTACGAGTTATAATATTGAAAATTTCCATGCAAATTGGGTCATTTTTCTGACTGAAAATGTGCTTCGCGTTTAGTCAGAGCTCTCGTACTTTTACCAAAAACAGCTTTATGTATTCAATTCAAACAAGTCTAAACTATTAAAATGCCATTTTGGAGAGGAGGTTTTTGCTAAGAAAATTGCAAACTTCTAAACCTAAGTGCTTTAAATGCCATTTCTATTTGATGTCCTCTCTGTGAATCTACCACTGTCTTTTCCTTCATCTTTTTCGTTCCAAGCCCTCGACTGCGGAGGCAACTCCTCGCTGCGGTGGGTCCAATCTACGGCAACGGCTCTTTCATTCCGGTCGAGTGCGCTCTCGATTAAGCCGCAGTCATTGGGAGTTGCCGTAAAGTAGCAACTCTGAAGTGCCGTTTGTTGCATTTACCACCAGCCTATTAGTGAGGCGTTTTTTTTTTTTTTAATTTCCTCCATTTCTTCTCTACCTGAAACCTTTCTGTTGTTGTCAAGTGATAAAAAAGCAGATCTCAATCTTGGAATTCTGCTTCAGTCTAATGTTATAAAAATTCGCATGTCCCCCTTCTTTCCACACAATAACTCTTTTCTGCGTCTTTAAAATTTAGGGACATTCAGTCAATAAGTAACTTCCCAGATGATAACGTTAGGTTAAAAATCCATTTTTCTACTGAAGCCAAAAACGACGAAAGAGGGGACGCACGTGGAATGGGGAAAAGAAATGAATAAAATCTAAATTATTAAAACTTTTCTGCTTCATTTATAATAGCTCAATTAGAATTCAATTTAAACTTTTTTTCTGTTTGCAAAAAAAAAAAGTTTTTAGCATTTGAATTTCGTTTTTTTAATTATCAAGAGAGCACCATGAGTATCGCAAAAGATTCGAAACTTTCACAAGAAACAACGAAGAAATATTCATTAGATTCGAAAGCAAAGAGTTAACTGTGCATCAAATCCTGCGAGTCAGGAGAATGAATCCACTCAATGTTCATTTTAATTCTGAAGGGAAATTGTGTCCTAATTAATAACGACAGTTCACTTCTATTTAAAGAAATATATTAAACCTAAGTGAATGATCAACTCTAATTTACTGTGACTCCCAGAATAGAGACAAAGAGACAAAAAGTTATCAAAGTTAAATTTATTATTTGTGTGTTTGTGTTTTTGCTTTATTAAGACTATTTAAAATCGAATATTTACTATACATTTTAGATTTTTAAGTAATATTGGTTACAAAGTAAAATACGCGTTTATATGTTGTTATAATCTCCTTGCACTAAAAAGGCAAATTTTACACATTTTATTTACCACAAGTATTGTCTGCATCTTATTTATTTTTTCCTCAATTTTATTATCTTAGTTTATTTATGATAAACATTTTTAAGAAAATGCATCATTTTTTTCCTCTCCGATGGATCAAAATAAACACTTGATAAGTACCTATGGTTTGGTGAATTGCACAGAATTTTCAAGAAAAGGCGAGTGATTGATTATTAACGTCGCACTGTTCAGCTACTCGAGGGCTTTTGGCGACGGACCACGTAATTTTGAACCATGGTCAAGTGACGTGGACGACACCTGAGCTGGCACCCCCCTCTTCTAACTACCACACCACACCAACGGGAGGACGTTTCAGCTCTCGACAGATTTAACGTGCATCGCTGCCCTACACGGCGGGTCTTTAGTGGTACTGGGCTCGAACTCGTGACAAGGCAAGCCACGGTCCGATACCTATACCACTCGGCTACCGCGGCCACCAAGAAATGGCGAGATAAATGAAACATGATTATTGATGAATAATTTGATTAATACATTCTTTAAGGTGCATATAAAATTTTGTTATTCTAATTTCAAAATATTACTTATTTGCATCAATACTGCTAGAAATAAAATTAATTTTTAAATGAAAAAAAATTCTTTAATAGTGGAACAAATAATCGTAAATTACGAAGTAAGTTATTAGGATGTAAATTTTTTGAATCCAAATTTATTATTGAATAGTTTTTATAAATTGGAAGGGAAATTAGAAGCATGGAAAGATGCATGTAAAATTAATTAATTCAAAACTCTGCATCGGTAAACTAATGATAAAAAGCGGAGATAATATATTTTTTAAAAAATAGGTGGTTCCTATTTTTGAAGTATATATTCCTATATTGAAGTAATATTTGAATTTTCTATGTAATATAAATATGAAATCACTGTATTTGTCAGCTAGCTGTAACAGATATTTTGATTGAACCTATTTAACCTTTGTCCATTTGAAGCATTTTAAATCTTACCTTTCAACATTCTGAAAAAACCCTCAATGACAAATTTTTATTTATGTATTTTTTGCATGACATTGGTTTTCCATCCAGCATGTTTTATTTTAATAAAGTCGTTTGCACCAAGTTTTATTTCACTTTGTTCTTAATGATGGACTCAATGTGTCCCTAGAGGACTTGGTGCTAGAATTTTTAACCGATATACTATCAAAAGATTGAAAATTTTCGTTTCTATCAAAAAGGAAGGAACATTTGAGGTTTTTTTGAAAAAAATACAATGCATTCACTTTTTTAAACAAAATAATTTCGTGAAACAATCAAAGACGTCACTTTTGAGTTTCGAAATGAATTACAAAAAAATTACTCAGGTGTAAATTTTGGGCTGTATGATAATTAACAAGCATTCATTGAACCGTAACATTGAAAGAATTGTTCGCTTTTTATACAACTGTTGAGAAAATTTGCATGGGAATGAAATAATTTTTTATATAGAAGTAAAAGACATTTAAAAAAATGTTTCATTTATAATCGTTAATACAATTTGGTCTTAATTAATCAATTAGATAAATATAAGTCATAAGAAAGTATACTTATAGGCTAAAAGTTATAATATTTGATATGCCTTTAGCATTTTTTTTACCGTTTTTGTGTAAATCTATACGTATATATTCATTATAACTGCATTAAAACAAATTGAAACTTAATGATATACAAAGGAAACATATTTTTATATTCTTTTTTTTTTAAATTTGTTTGCATAATAAAATTTATTCTGAAAAAATTTTCTCGTTGTTTTACAAGGGCATTTTTCCTCCACCTTTGAGCAACATTCATAGCAATTTTTAAATCTAAGATTATTTTATTAAATGAGATTCTATAAACATAACGGTCAATCAGCATTCAATCGAATAATAATATTATTAAAATGATTCTTAAAGAAAAAAAATACGGATGTAAATCTAGGTTGAATATTACAAATCATGTTATCTTGTCATTATTGTAATAGGACGTACTGAGAAAAAAAGTGTTTTCGAGAAAAAAGTTGCTGTGTGTGTGTGTGTGGAACCCAACAAAAAATAATTTAGGTGCTACTTGTAAGCAGTAAAAATGCATTAGATTAGTTTTAACTAACCTGAAATAAACATTTTAAAAATTGTTTTTATATGTATTTCTAAAAATAGTAATTACTGCTGATTCTTGCTAACTTCTGATACTTGCCAAAACCATTAAAAATACAAGAAGGATTCATATTTCAAGACGAATTATTATCTCAATAATAATAAATTAATATTTATTTTGCGCTTTACCAGCTCTACATTAGTCTTGTAAAAGGATATTCAATACAATATGAAACTATTTTGTAAATATTTCAGTTACTTTTCCTAAAACTTAGTGTAAAGTATTACTTTCTACTAAGTAACTTATTACACACTTATGCTGTTTCATTGCAGACAGATTGTTGCCGAAACAGATTAAACTACAGAATTACATTCTACAATTTTTTAGAAAACTTGAACAAGAAACGCTACGTTAGCTACAAAATACACAAAGACAGCGTGTCAGTGAAAACTCGGCTTAAATGGAATGAAAATAAAATTATTCATTCTCACACACACATTTATAGAATGGGATAATTCTTTTAAATTTCAGTGTAGAAAAATCATTGTCTTTAAGGAAACGAAGATAAAAATGAAGTTTTTACATTTCATTTATTGATGATTATAACAAAAGAATTTAATCGAAGTTAATACAAATAAATATTTTGATGTAATTGAGCAAATTTTCTTACGAGGTGCAATGACTGAGCTAATTACTTATGAATAAAATTATTCCATGGTTTATTTTGTAGATTTATTCTTTGTTGTATAGAACTATTTTCGATATTCTAAGAAATAACTCAAAATGCCTTTTAATATATTTGTATTGAATAAGAATCCTTATATGAATATTACATTTCAATCTATTCTAATATTCTTTGGGTTTTATAAAATACTATCAAGATAACATGTTTTGTGGAT